GTTTCCCTAAACCCTAAACCTCCTAAACCCTTAACCCTTAACCCTTAAACCCTATACCCTAAACCCCTACTAAGCCCCTAAACCCTAAACCCTAAAACCCTAAAACCCTAAACCCCTATATAAACCCTAAAACCCTAAACCTTAAACCCTAAACCCTTAAAAACTCTAAAGCCCTAAACCCTAAAACACTAAAACCCTAAACACTAGAACCCTAAAACCCTAAACCCTAAAAACCCTAAAACCCTAAACCGTTAAATCCTAAAGCCCTAAACCCTAAACACTAAACCCTACAACTCTGAACCCTAAACCCTAAAACCCCTGAAACCCCAAACCCTAAACCCTAAAACCCCTAAACCCTAAACCCCTAAACCCTGAAACCCTAAACCGTCAACCCACCCCTGAACTTCAAACCCAAAACCCTGATCCCTTACTTTCAAACCCTAAAACCCTAAAGCCTTAAAACCCTAAACCCTAAAACCCTAAAACCCTAAAGCCTTAAAAAAACCCTAAACCCTAAAACCCTAAACCCTAAAGCCCTAAAACCCTAAAGCCCTAAACAGAATCCTTGCCGCCTGCCTGCTAGGCCGAAGGCCTCGGGGCTCGGAGAGAAATCGACCCGAGGTTCGGTTCCAAATCACCTCAGCTCAGGGCTTCGGGGTGTTGGTGTGAAGGGCTTAGGGGTTTAGGGTTTAGGGTTTGGGGGTTTAGGGTTTAGACTTCGGGATTTGGGGTGTAGGGCTTAGGGCTTAGGATTTAGGGTTTAGGGTGTAGGGTTTATTAGGGTTTAGGGTTTATTGATTGGGGGTCTGGGGTTTGCGGATCACCTGTTTGGGGTTTGGGCTTGAAGGGTTTGGGGCTTGAGGTTTAGAGTTTGGGGTTAGGCTTGAAAGGCTTGGGTTTGGGGTCTAGGGCCCTAAGGGCATGTGTTTAGGGTTTAGGTTTCAAATGCTTTGGGATTGGGGTTTCGGGCTTGGGCTCTCGGGTATGGGGCTCAGGCTTTACGGTGTTCCGAATCAACCCTAAACCCTGAACCCTAAACCCTGAACCCTAACCCCTGAACCCGAAAACCTAAACCCCTAAACCCTGAACCCTAACCCCTGAACCCTAAAACCTAAACCCCTAAACCCTGAACCCTAACCCCTGAATCCCTAAAACCCTAAACCCCTAAACCCTAAACCCCTAAACCCCTAAACCCCTAAACCCTAAACCTCAATGCCCTAAAGCCTAAACCCCTCAACCCTAAACCCCTAAACCCCTAAACCCATAAACCTCGATGCCCTAAAGCCAGCCTCTGACTTCGGGCAGAGATCGATCCGAAGGCTTGTTTTGCAAGGCCAAAGCGACTAATATAAATAGGGCCTAAACCCTACGCCATAATGTAGGGGCCTAAATAATTATCTATACTATTTTTTGGGGGTTCCTGATTAGAATACATTAAGTATAATGAGCCCCAAAACCCTATTCTACTTGTTTGAGGCCCCTATATTGCTGTAGAGGCCTCACCGATTAGAACGGGGTTGTGGGAGGAATCGTACTTCTAAGTACTTCAGCTTCTACAGTATAAACCCTATTCTACTTGTTTAAAGCCCCCATAATACTATAGAGGCCTCACCGATTAGAACAGGGTTCCTTAAGCTTCTACAGTATAAACCCTAACTCCGAAGGTCCGACATCCACAAGTCCCAAGTGACGCTGTGGCCGGTAGCATTGGCCACCAGCTCCATCGTGTAGTTCACGTACGTGTCGAGGACGCCAACCACCTGGCGGCTTTGTTTTGTCTAGGATTTCAGGCTCGAGGAGTGAGAGTATGTCTGCTGTCTCCATTGTAGTTATTTTTTGGGGTTACCTTCATAGGATCCTTGACATAAAACTGGTTAAACCAGGAAAAGGAACTACAATGGAGACTATAGGTAGGAGTTGGACGTGCAGGATAGAAAGTGTAGTCCTCGTGCGCACCGGGAACCCCCAAAGCCGAAACCCTCAACCTTTTAACGCATTCACAAAACCCACAAGGTCAAAATAATGTCTAGAGGAGATAAGAGTAAGACTCCCGAGACCCTCCACCTACCCTCTTTAAGACTCTAAATACCTACTATTTGGGGCCATATACCCCTATCTAAGGGCACCCAGCGGGTCCTGGTCCCTGATAAGTTATAGGGATGGGGAACCTGGCTGTACAGAGTCAAGAAATCCCTGCGTCCTGAAGCCATCATCAAGTCAAGACGACCTGAAAACTCTTTTCAAGGTTCCTTGAACGTTAACCCAGAGGGTCCATATATTATACTACCATTATGGAATTCAGTCCCCAAAGACCATCCCTGTTATGGTTTGGGGAACCTATACCTCCATAATATTGGTACATGTGGACCCTCTTGGTGAGGGTGCCTGGTACTCCTGCACGATGGGTGTCTGAAGCGGCGCCAGCAGCTTCTTGAAGTGGTTTTTGGTCCTAGAGATTTCTGGGATCGGACGGGCTGAAGCTTTGGATGCTGCACTTTGAGTTCGGGGTTGGGGTTTAGGGTTTAGGGTTTAGGGTTTAGGGTTTAGGGTTTAGGGTTTAGGGTTTAGGGTTTAGGGTTTAGGGTTTAGGGTTGGGCTGTCGGGCTGAGGGTTCCAACTTTTGAAGGCACAATTTTGGAGTGTAGGGTTGAGGGTTTAAGGGTTTAGGGCTTAGGGCTTTGGAGTATGACACCTAGTACTGTTGATGGACAAAATTCTGCATGACCCAAATATAGTATAGAACCATAAATCACATAGTTTAGGTATATAAGGTCATGCAGGATTTTGTCCATCAGCCGTATAGCTACATCCTACAACCCTTGCAGCCTTCAAAACTGCGGGGACCCCCAATGAAAGAACTCACACACACACACACACATACACACATTGTATGCCTGTACTTACAAATGTAGATATAGATATAGAGATAGATAGAGGCATACGTACAGACATATGTAACTATATATGTATATAGATGGATACCGATATAGATATAGATACAGGTATAGATACAGGTATGGGTTCAGAAATAGATACAGGTATACACGTAGATATAGATACAAGTATAGATGTAGCTAGAGGTACAGAACTAGATATAGGTAGAAATAGAGATGCAGACATAGACAATTGAAATAGACAGAGATAGAGATGGAGATATAGGAATAGCTATCATCGCCGCAGCCCTTTGCAGCGAGACCCACATAAATTTTCGAAAAGCCCTTGGGAGCCAACTATGACACTTTGAAAACATTGAGCGGTACAGTAGTTTAGCAGTGCTTGGTCTAGCGTTGCCGGGCATTTGGGTGTTTAGGGTTCACGGACCCGGCCAGAACCACGCCAAGGTACCCTAATGGCTTTCTGCTCTTATATCTGGCAGTCTAGTGGGTGCTTACACGGGGGAAGGTCTTCTTAGGGCCCCAACAAAGCACATAAGCAAAATTAGGATAGGGATATCCCATATAAACACTTCTTATAATGAAGCCCAATAAGGTAGGGATATCCCTATAAAATGCTTATGCTTATATCCTTTTTGGCTTCCTACCTTCTCAGCCCACAACTTAAGCTCCTCGACGCTAGGGTTCAGGGCTCTGGGCCTAAAGGGTCTATGGCTTACCTATAGTCTCCGTTGTAGTTCCTTTTTTTGGTTAAACCAGTTTTATATTCAGGATCCTATAAGGGAACCCCACAAAGAATCTACAATGGAGACTGTAGGTAGAGTTATAGGGTTGAGTTTGGGACAGAGGGTTTAGGGTTTCATTTTTGCTAGTTCACGAGTTAGCTGATGCTAAAAATAGAAAATAAACCCTAAACCCTAAACCCTAAACCCTAAACCGTATACCAACCCCAAGAGCTTTGATGCTCGAGTGCTGAATAAGGGTCATAAAGCCTTCAAGCTAAACCCCAGCGCTGTTCCAAATCTGGGAATACTTGTAATAAGCTAGACACACCTCGACTGCTTACAGTCAAGTCTTCAAGCCTTAAAGGTCCTAAGACACCCCCAACGAACAGTTTTAAACTGAGTTCCTGAACAAAAACCCAACTTCCGGTCCTTGTGTTGATGTCCTTCAGCCACTTGTTGCTCCGACCTGTCTCACCTTCGTCCGCATCCTGAACAAGGCTTCGGGATTTGGGCTTTGGGAGTTCGGTTTAGGGTTTAGGGCTAAGGGTTTAGGGTTTAGGGTTGAGGGTTTAGGGTTTAGTGTTTAGGGTTGAGGGTTTAAGGTTGGGGGTTTAGGGTTTAGGGTTGAGGGTTTAGGGTTTAGGGTTGAGGCTTGGGGATGTAAGGCGGCAAGGCCCTCGAGCTTACTACGGGTGATTCGCGCAAAGTACATCCATCCGACCCTATAACGGAGCAGCAATCATACGACCTCTATACACCTTTTTGGGCCCTACACTACACCTAATTCCCTAAATCCCTAAACCCTAAACCCTAAACCCTAAACCCTAAACCCTTCCATCCACAATCTTGAACTCCTATACCCTGAAGCCCACAATCACAACCCTGAACTCCTACACTCGGCAACCGAAAGTTGAGAGAGCTAGAACTCCCCTCTTTTCGGGTTTAGGGTTTAGGGTTTAGGGTAGCTAGAAACCCTAAACCCTAAACCCGAACCCTTAAGGACGAAATGAACCTCAAAAGGTTTTCAGGTTCATATACCATATTAGGGATTCAAAGTATAAGGGTATATGGCCCCTACTTATAAGGGTCATTTGGTCCCCAAGGACTAGGGACGAGCGGCCAGGTAGTCCGCGCCGCGAAGCTGAGAGCTCGGGAAGGGGTCGTTGGTGAAGAGGTCTGGGTCGGACTCGGCAGCGCCCAAAACCTTGCTGTGGGTCTACCTTTGGTCTGTACTGAACTTAGACCCCTAGCAAAAACTATAAGTTTAGCTTCTTCTTAGGGTTTATAGTAGCCAAAGATTAACAAAAATATTTCTAAGTACCTGTCACCATTGTAGTTACCTTTATAGGATACTGAATATAAAATTGGTTAACCCAACAACAGGAACTACAATAAAGGCTACAGGTAAGGTTAGGGCTTTCGTGTTTGGTGGGGCATTTAGGACTTTGGGGGGGGGGGCGGGTTTTGGGGTTTAGGGCCTGAGGGGATTGTCGGGTTCAGCCTGTTCCTCGCACCTGTGTGACTGAGGACTGCGAGCCCAAGCGGTGGGGAGAGAAAATGAAGAAGGCAGCAGCAGGCTTGTATATACATATACTTATAAATACTTATACATCCCTACGTACATGCAGGCACACATGCATAGCCACGGTTTCGCAAGTTACAGCTTTGCAAACTTAGCATTATAGCAGACATTACAGCAGCTACAAAGCTTTGCCAAGCGCAGAAGACAGCGGTGACGGCCAAAGCGGAGATGACGAAGAGCGCCATGGCAATGAGAGGGTACTGAAGGCTCTGGAGGACCAGAAAGAGGGATTTGAGTCTCAAAACTGCGGCGTTAGGGTTTAGGCTCTCTTCTTCAACAACCAGGCCCAAAAAAGTTCAAACTTTTTAGGATAGACCAAATATATAAGGCCACAAAGTTTAAAGTTCTCCCATTGAGGACCTAAGTAGGGTTGGGCTTCAGAGACTTCTGTAAGGTGTGGGGATTAGGGTTTAGGGGTCTAGGGCTTTAGGGTTTAGGGGTTTAGGGTTTAGGGATTAGGGCTTATAGGGGTTTAGGGTTTAGCTTTGTAAGGTTTACGGATGCAGGGCTGAAGATGTAGACCTGCCCCGCACCACTTGTTGGTTGGGGTCTCATGCATTCGCGATGGTCCCTGCTGAAATGCAGTTGCCTTTGAAAAGCCCTAAACCCTAAACCCTAAACCCTAAAACAAACGAGCAAGCCCTAAGCCCTAAATTCCAAGATCAGTCTTAACTGCTGATGGTATCCATCTTTGGGATCCCTCATTGTGCTGAGAACAGGACTCATGGTGTGGTCACTGATTCCGCATTCTACCTCTAGTCTCCATTGTAGTTCCTTTTTTTGGTTAACCAACTTTGTATCATAGGATCCTAACCAAAGAATTGGCTAACCCAAAAACGGAACTACAATGGAGACTAGAGGTAGTGTCAGGGCTTTAGGGTGCCGGAAATCCCAAACTTAACCGTGAAACCGTAGAGTCTAAACCCGAGGCTGTAGGAGTCCGGCCCTAGAGCCAAGTGAAGGTCAGAGTTTGGAGTTCAAGTTTTGGGGTTTTGGGTTTGAGGGATATGTTGTGGTAATTGGGAATGCCTTGCATCGGCAGCAAAACCCCAGAGGGTCCAAGTATTATACTATTGTAGCTACTTTGCAGGTAATTGGGCCCGAAAAGTATATACCATACCCCTAAACCCTAAACCCTAAACCCTAAACCCTAAACCCTAAACCCTATAACTTGGACCCTTTGGGAACTGAATCCCAATCAACCCTGACTGAAACCCGACCAGGGGAATCCCACGCCCTCTTTGTGGGTAGTTCTCTAAATTAGGGTCCCTTTTTGGGTCCCAAATATAGTACGGCACCCTTATAAAACGGACCCTAAAGGGGACCCTAATTTAGAGAACTACCCTTGTACAGGCTGCTTTGTCAGACCAGTCTCCAGTTCTCTCGAGGAAAAGCCCATGAACCCTCGGAGGTGGTGGTCTAAACCCGAAACCCTCCCTGAACCCCAAATACCTACCCTTTGTTCGGGCTCAGACACGGAAATCATAGCAAGGAGCCCTCAAAAGGTAGCTCATATAGGGGTAAGCAGAGCCCTAAACCGTAAACCCCTAAACCCTAAAACCCCTAAGCCCTAAACCCCTAAACCCCCAAGCCCTAAACCCCTAAACTCTAACCCTAAAAACCCCTAAACCCTAATACCCTAAACCCCTAAGTCAAAAGAACCCTCAATGCGCTGCCTTGTAGGGCGTCGTGTCCACTACGATCGCAGCTTTTGGCGCGAGAAGGCCCTCCGATCGAATGAAGGCTCTGCAATGTTTGGAGTTTAGGGTTTAGGGTTTCGGGACGGGATTTAGTTTCCAGTGGGAGTTAGCCTTGTAAGAGAGTCATAAAGTAGGGTTAAGAAGGGTCCCCTCTAAGGGGTCTCCCATAATACTACCTTGGAGGGGAACCCTGTCATACAACTCTTAAAGGAGCCTGTACGGTTCAGAGATTATCGGGCTTTAGTGCTTTAGGCTTCTGGGTTTTAGTGGTTCAGGGCTTTAGGCATTCGGGCTTTTTATGGTTTAGGGCTTTAGGGTTTTAGGGATCATAGGGTTCGGGTGAATTTGTAGGCTTACAGTATGCATCAGGTTGTGTGGAAGTGGGTGCGGTCTGTGGCAAAAAGTGCTGTCTCGTTGGCAGGGCACACAACAGGTCACAACAAAACACAACCTACTGTTCGCTAGGCCACTGGGCTACTAATTCTAGGTATTCATGCAACCTTTCCCCTAAACCCTAAACCCTAAACCCTTGATTGTTTAGGCAGCAAGCATTGGCAGAACCGGTCCCTGGCGCTGCAGACCGTAACCCGAAAGCCGGGATAATGTAGAGTAACAAGACCCCCCAACAGGTTGAAGGTCACTTGCTCTACTAATAACTTAACCACGAAGGCAGGATAACATGAAGCCCTAAATGGCATCGGTTAAGTCTTGACGGAAATTCAACCTTCAAGCACTTATATTACATACTATAATATACTACAATATACTATGATATACTATGATATACTACTATATACTATAATATACATTAGGACCTATAAATCCTTTTGACTCAACCCTGAAGCCATCCCGGCCCTCACTATGGGATGAACTTCCAAAAAACAATCTACCCTAAACCCAGGGTTTAGGGTTT